GGACACGCACGGGGCACATAAGGGGGGACACATGGGATGTGGGGACCCATGGGACACACGCGGGACACATAGGGGGCATTCGTGGGATGTGGAGGGCACACAGGGGACACGGGGGCACACGTGGGACATGGGGACACACAGGGGACACGCATGGGACAGGCAGAGGGTACGCGTGGGGGGTGGGAGACACGCGACATGCATGGGACACATAGGGTGCACACACGGGTCAAGTAGGAGACAGGGCACAGGAGACACGCGGGACACAAGATGGCACAGGCATGCAGGGGACACAGGAGTCACAGGGAACACAGAGGGGACATGCACGGGGTCGTTCCGGAGACAGGGGACACTGGAGCCATGGGACACACGGGGGAGATGTAGGAGTCACTCCCGGACACATAGGACCCAGGCAGGGGACAGCGAGGGAGTGCAGAGACAGGGGCTGTGCCACCACCATGGGGACAGCACTGTAACGAGCCTGGTGAGCCCCGAGCTGCGCACCCCATGACCGCCCGGGAGCCGCGGGCCACCCCGCAAGGTGGGAAGCCGGGGCGGGCGGCCATGTCCCGGCCATCGCGGTGACCTTTGGAGCAGGGAAGGTGTGCCGAGGTCTCCCCATGTGGCAGGAGGTGCAGCCCCAGGATGTGACCCCCAGACGGTCCCCAGCCACCCCACACCATCGCCCGTAGCTGGGTGGCATCCAGGGTTTTGGGGACAGGCTGTGTGACAAACCCACCGGGGTCTTAGGGGGTGCTCCAGCCTTGCTCCGGGGGCAGCAAAGCCACCCCACAAGGGTGACCTTGGCCTTTCCACCCTGCCGGCCACATGGCCGTGGTGGCACAGCCCTGCCGGGGTGGGAGGCAGTGCGGGAGAGTGCCCGGCCCCCCAAAATAGCATCCTGCAAAGCAGGGCCTGATCCTGCAGGGTGCCAGCCACCCGTGGGTGGCTCACAGGGGGGCACCCAGCAGCCGTCAGCCCCCATGCGGCTCCCCCCAACCCTACAGGATGCGGCCCTCGTTACTGTGCTTAAATACGGCTGGGGGCTGGGGGGGGCACCCCCCCCCCCCGCCCCCCAAAAACCCCCACCGGCTCGTCACCTGCCCTGTCACCCAGGGGAGTTGTGCCTCAGTTTCCCCACCTGAGACCTGCCCGGGGTTTATAGGGTGCCCGTGGGCGCACCGGTGCAGCCCCGAGCCCTCCCGCGCTCAGAAGCCCCAAACCCCAGATCCTCGGGCTCCGGCTGGATCCTTCCAGGCGTCCATCGTCAGCGGGAG